TACTCTATAACTGTAATTTTGCTACTGTTATGAATCGTAATGTAAATATCTGATATGCAGGATGTATTTTCATTGTTACAAATTGAACATAATTAAAGCATAGTGATTAATCACAAAAACAATATGTAATTATTTATTGTGAAATATTTATTTCTAATTACAAATAAATGAAATTTTGTCTTGAAGCCAGGTACTCGTATGTGGGCGTATCTGCATGTGGGCGGACCCGCCTGTAGACGGATAGAGGAGCGGTGTCTCGGTTCCTAAGACCATCAAAAATATGTGTTTTCCGATGGTCTTAGGCGACACCTAAGACCATCGTTCGACCCCCAAAGGGGTTGCGACCCACAGGTTGAGAACCACTGGTCTAGTGTTCTTTCATTTTACCTTAAAGGACTCCTTAGAATATTTCTTGTAGGGCAGATCTAGTGGTCAAGAACTCCCTCAGCTTTTGTCTACATAACTCCCCCCCCCCTGAGTTTTCAAGGACAGTTTTGCCAGATAGAGCGTTCTTGATTGACAGTTTTCTTTGTTTTAATTGGGGCACTTTAAATGTATTGACCCACTGTCTCCAAAGTTTCTGGTGAGAAATCTGCTGATAATTTTATTGAGGATACTTGTATGTGATTAGTCGCTTTTCTCTCAATGCCTTTTAAGATCCTCTCTTTGTCTTTGTATTTGAAATTTTGATTATAATGTCTTAGCGTAGGTCTCCTTGAGTAATCATTCTTTAAAAAAGAAAGAAAAGTTAATAGTTTTATTTGTAGTAGCCAAGGACTGGAACCAGCCCAGGTGTCCTTCAGCAGGTGACTGGTTAAGCAAACTGTGGTGCATACGTACTACGGGATACTGTTCAGCAATGAAAGGGAATGAGCTAGATATTTACAACAACCTGGATGAATCTCCAGGTAATCAATCATACTAAGTGAAAAAAACATGATTCCATTTAAATAATGTTCTTGAAATGACAGAATTTTTAAAATGGTGGTAAAATTAGTGGTTGCCTTGGATTAGACTAAAGATGGGTGGTGGGTGTGATTATAAAAAGGCAACAGGAGGGATCCTTGCAGTGATGGAAAGTTCTGTATCTTGACTGTGGTGGTGGATACAGGAGCCTACACAGGTGCTGACGTTGAATAGAACATACACACACTACAAGGACAAGTAAAACTGGGAAAATCTGAATAAGTTTGGTGTTATCAATGTAAATATCCTTTAATCAGTTCCATCATCTGCCTGCTGTAATCACTCTTTTTAGAGCAACAGAGGTAGGTAAACAAGTAAATAAAGACTAAGAAGTCATGTCTAATTCAAACCAATGAGGCCTGCTACTTGGGGTTATTTTCCTATTAATATTTTTAGCATTTGATTGAAATGACATAAATCCAGACCTCTCTGACATCCTCCTCTAGTGATAGTAGAAACAAGCAAACTAGTAGAACCAGCTCAGCAGTGTTAAGCAAGTCTTTCTAAGAGGTCTTTATGTGTGAATTTCAAATCTTTTGGACTCAAGGGCAGGCCTAGAACCTTCTCTGAGAAGCTCTTACTTGAAACATGTCTGGTTAATTTCACAGCAACTCACCAGGGCTATTAGTTTGGCAGTCAGTAACAGGGTATTTGCATCAGTTCACTCCGTAGTTAGTCTTTAGGTCTCTTTCCTATCTTTGACTTTTCACACACAGTTTTCTACATCAGCACACCCCACAAAGAGACAAACTACGCAGCTGCTGAAGAGGGCTTATTTTTGCCACTCTTCTGAGCCACACTACAGAGTCCTGCCTTTTAGAAAGGACCTGAAGAACATCTCCCTTTCTGATAGGAAATGGCTTTTGATGGTACTTTGGTTTTCTTAGATGTTCCCACATTTGGAGGTTTTTGATTTGTTGTTCCTGTGAAACCACTTTCCCTGACCCTCTCTTTTTTTTTCATAGCTTGAAACAGCAGACACAAGGGTCCACACTGTCATCCCTGTCCCATGGCTAAAGGAGCAGGTGTGTTTTCTTCTGAGGCTCATGCTGCAGCAGTGTAGGACCCAGTATGAGCTGGGGAAGCTTTTACAGCTGTTTGTTGGAATAGAAGATCTCTTCTGTGATGGTAAGACAATCCTTACAGTTAAGTTGCTGTTAAGAAGTTAGCTTTCTTAATCTTGAAAAATATTTAGAAGGACATTCAGGAAATTAAAATGCATATGATATATAACATTACATTTACAGTCCATAACAGGGTATGAAGAAGTCACAAAACTTCAGTCATGCTTAAAGCATTCAAAACACAGGACAACAGGTTGTAACATAAATAATAGAACTATCTATTCATTCTGAGCAGTTGTCAGATAGCCACATTTCCCCGCTGGCTGTCATTTGTTTCTCTGACAAGTAACCTTAACCTGTCTTTGCTGCTCAGGGTCACAGACTTGTTTCAGGAATATCTAATTCATTTTGAAGTTTCCAAAGATAAATTTTGCTTATTTTTTTGCAGATGTCTCCAGAGATTAGCAGTTTCTAAGCTTGTTGCTTATTGAATGAAACCAATATTGCTTTACCCTCTTTTCTACTAGTTTGATAATTTCAAGTTTTTGGTGAATGATGATGTTATTCTTTTACAATAGGTTCTGACATTTTCACTACTAGGGTTATTTTATCACATTTAGAACTCATAGATGTTCAACTGGAGAACTCAGATTTGCACAGAACGCTGACAAAATGCTGGCTCAGTGCCAGTATCATAGGCTGTGGAGCTGATGACTGGAAAAAAAGGGTATTTCCTAAATGTAGTGTATAAAAGATCCTTTTAACATATAAGTGTCTTCATTGATCTTTAGTAATTTTAATTTTTTTCAGAAATGAATTTTCTATTTTCCTTCCAGAGTTATTTAATCCTTAAAAAATTGCAAGGATTGTCTACGTTGTTAACATTACTATAATGCTTTTATTCATATAACTAAGTTAAATGATTTCTATTTTTATAGAATATTTATGTGTGTATATGTATCATGTATGTGCTTATAGAAAAGAAATAGGTTTTTTAAAAACCTGTGTTTTATATGATGCCAGCAAAGGAACCCAGCATGCTCACCCTGGTGCTTATTGTGCAGATACCTCACTGTCCCTGGAACTTCCTAAATCAGATGACAGTCTAGCAGGTGACATGGGGAATAGGCTCCTACAGAGTGTTTTTCCCTCCTTTATGGTCAGGTCACATAGGCTCTGCACAGATTAGTTGGGAGTGGGAGCAAACCCAGCCACATAAGTGGTTGGCAGAGAATTCCGAATGTACTGATAAGAACTTCCCAGGGACATCAGGGAGAGCTCAGCTGGGTCTCACTGGATTAAGTAGATGGGTGTCTGGAGGAGCAAGTGATGCTCCGTTCTGAACACGATGGGCTACATTAGAGCTTTGGCTATTGGCCAGTGGCAGTTCCAACTGCCCTGCAAGTTCTGTGTCTTAATCCACATGACGACCACGTTGAATGAATGAGTGAACAATCATTAATGATCGATTTGTTCAAGGCAGGACAGAAAATCCAGAAAGAGATGGGACTAGCCTGAATGAATGGCCAAATCTTCCCGAGGTTGACTGAGTTGCTACTACACAGTAGGCCACCAACCAACCTCTGCTCTGTGGTTGAAGCCAGATGTCTAGATGGATCCATGGCTAACAACCGCTTCCAGTTCTTACTACATAGGAGCTGGCTGTGGCTTCCACTAGTCAACCAGAGTAGAAAAATCCATTTTTGTTTTTCCTTTAAACACAGTATTATGTTAAACATATTTCCCCGCTGAAATTTAGTTACTCTTGAAATGCCATAGTGGCATTTTATTAAATGTTTATATCCTAATGTGGGGACCCAGGCCCAGACCCTAGGCTAAGACCCCCGCCCAGAGGAATGAAAGAAACTTCTGCTTCAGAAAAAATTAACAAAGTATCTTGTCAAGAGAATAGAAAAAGATAAGCTAGGTATGTTTTATAGCTTGTTAGGGAAAGATAAAGCTAGGTATGTTTTATAGCTTGTTAGGGAAAGATAAGCTAGGTATGTTTTATAGCTTGTTAGGGAAAGATAAGTTAGGTATGTTGTTAGGAAAAGGAAATTAAGTCCTGATTTATAGTTCGTTAGAAGAAAATAAACTTGCCAAGTTTTATGGCTAGGTAGAAGATAAGTTAACTCTGTTTGTTAAAATTTTTTCTCTTTTTACTCACTAACCGCTTTTTTTTGCTTCTGCATCCAGCTTCAGCTATAAATTCCCCACCCGCCAGGACTTATAGCCGTCTCTCTCTCTTTTTTAAATGAGACGGACACCAAGCTTGGTAAATAAAGCCTTTGGAACGAAAACTCTTTGTCTCAGTTCTTATTAACGACCTGCTCCCCAACACTCTTCTCTTTGGCACAGGTCCGGATGTAAAGAAGCTATGTGTCCTTAGCCAAATTTTGAAGGATACATCCATAGCCATTAATCATGTAATTATTACCAGCTATAGTCTTGAGAATTTTCAGCGTGAATGTAGATCTATTTTGGAGAAACTGGAGACAAATGGACAGTTTGCTTTGGCCAGAAGGGTAGCAGTATTAGCTGAGTTACCTGTGGACAGCCTGGTTATTGAAGAGGTAACGTAAGTCTTTTAAGTTATTTAAAAATCTTAGCTTTTTGAACAAGCATTAAACAAAGAATCAAATGAGATATGTAATTTATAGGAGATAAGGCTTTTCTAGTTTTGATACATACTAGTTTCATAAATGGATGAGACTAGAGTGCCCATTATTGAAGAACATATGCTTTAAGTGTAATGTTAGCTTACAGGATATGCTACAACTATTTTCCTTTGAATAGAATTAAATATAAGGTGGCTTCTCCTTGAACCCTATTCAAATACATTTAGAATTGTTTTTCATACCTTAACTTTTCAGATAAAATACACAGGATCGTCTGTAGCCAAGTCCCATGTTCTCTGACTTGATTTGGTTTTTTAAAGTATGGTAGCATTTATGATACTTCTTTATCTAGGAAAGGCTAAGATTCATTTTGTTAAATTTCACAGATAACACAGGAAATCCAGACCTTAAAACACATTGACCAGTGGCCCCTGAAGCAAGCAAGAATTGACTTCTGGAAAAAATGCCATGAGAATTTTAAGAAAAGTTCCATTTCAAGTAAAGCAGCTACTTCCTTTTTCTCAGCCCAAGCCTGTGAGTACCCAGCTGAAGCGGGACCGAGCAGCATTGAGGAGCGCCATCTGCTGCTCACCCTGGCAGGGCACTGGCTTGCTCAGGAGGACCCTGTGCCAGTAGAGAAGCTGGAGGAGCTGGAGAAACAGATCTGGCTCTGCCGTATCACCCAGCACACCCTCAGAGAAAACCAGGAGGAAATAGTGCCCAGATTTTCTCAACAGATCTCAACTAGTGGTGAACTTTCCTTTAATAGCTTAGCCAGTGAATTTTCCTTCTCCAAGTTGGCTGCTCTGAACACATCAAAATACTTAGAACTTAATGGCCTTCCATCCAGAGAGACTTGTAAGAACAAACTGGACTGGAAGGAGCAGGAGTCACTAAACTTTTTGATTGGGCGCCTCCTGGATGACGGCTGCGTGCATGAAGCAAGTAGAGTATGCCGGTATTTTCATTTCTATAACCAGGATGTTGCTTTGGTATTGCACTGCAGAGCACTGGCTTCAGGGGAAGCTAGTGTGGATGACCTGCACCCAGAGACCCATGCTCTCCTACAAGGTGTTGAGCTGCTGGAGGAAGAAGAACCTCGCCTTCCTCTAAGAAAAGTCCCAAGCAGTAAGTAGAGGAGATCAAATTGCCCTGTGTGTTGGCACAGTCTCCAGGAAGAAAAAGGTCCCTTTTGAGATAATATATATAGTTACACTAAGTTAAGAGGAGAGCAACTCTTTTCCAGGCAATCCATAAACTAGGTAATTAACTAGTCAGTGAGTAGAAACACCTATGTCTTTTAACTAGCTGTGTATCAAAATTAGAGGGAATCCTATTTTTTTTTTTTAAGCTGAGCCATCCTGCCACCAGATGGCAGCTCAACAGCTGCTCAGCTCAGGCCGGGAATTGAACCGCTGTTGCTCAGAGCTCAAACTCTTGAGCGAGCTCTTAACCAACTGAGCCACTCAGCCGGCCTGAGAGAATCCTATTTGACTTGTAACTAGTTCATTGAAATTTATTCTATACAAATAATCGTGTTTTCAATTGTACATTGATAGTGTACAGAAATATGGTTGATTTTTATGTGAACCTTGTATCCTGTGACCTTGCTAAACTCGCTAATCCTAGGAGTTTACTTGTAGATTCCTTGGGATTTTCTACAGAGACAATCATGGGTATCAATAGAGACAGTTCTGTTTCCACCTTTCCAGTCTTTTGTTTGCCTTTTGTTTCTTTTTCTTGGTTTATTGCACTGGCTAGGACTTCTAGTATAATGTTTGATAGAAACGGTCAGTGGACATCCATACCTTGTTACTGATCTTAGGGGAAAAGCATTCAGTCTTTCATCATTAGGTATGAAATTAGCTGTACATGTTTTGAAGATATGCTTTGTTATTTTGAGGGTATTTCCTTCTATTTGTAGTTTGCTGAGAGTTTTTGTCATGAATTGTTGAATTTTGTCATGTTTTTTTCTGCATCCATTGATATGCTCATGTGCTTTTTATTCTTTACACTGTTAATATGTTGAATTATATTAATTGATTTTTAAATATTGAACCACCTTTGTATTCCCAGGATAAACCCCACTTGGTCCTGGTGCATTATTCTGCATTATTGATATATTACAGGAATCAATGAGAATTTTTGCATTTATTTTCATGAGGAATATTAATCTATACTTTTTTTGTACTGTATTTGTCTCATTTTTGTATCAGGATAATGCTGGTTTCATGAATTGGAAAGTACTCCCTCCTCTTCTATTTTTCTGGAAAACATTATGTGGAATTGGTGTAATTTCTTCTTTAAATGTTTAGTAGGGTGGCTGGCCAAGTGGCTCAGTTCGTTAAGAGTTCACTCAAGAGTTTGAGCTCTGAGCAACAGTGGTTCAGTCCTGGCCCGAGCTGAGCAGCCACTGAGCTGCCAACGGGTGGCAGGATGGCTCAGCTAAAAATAAATAAAAAATAAATAAATGTTTAGTAGGACTTACCAGTAGAACTATCTGAACCTAAAGATTTCTTTTTTGGAAGATTTTTAACTATGGATTTAATGTCTTTCATAGTTGTATGGCTCTTCAGGTTATCTTTTTCATCTTGGGTGAATTTTGGTAGTTGGTAGTTTTTGAGGAAACCTTTTTTTCCTGCCGTTTAGGTTATTTGGTCATTTTTTACTCTTCCATTTTAGTTTATTGTGACTTTGACTACATCTCTTTGTATAGTTCTTTTCAGTTGTTTGCTTTAGGGATTACATTATACCTTATTAACTTTTCAGTCTAATCAAAGTCAATATTTTACCACCTCCACTGGAAGGCAGAATCCTTCCTTACCATATATAGGTCACTTCTCTCCCTTTATATCCAAGTTGTCTTATTACATTACATCTACATACATTGGACACACCATCAAACAATGCTAATTTTTGCTTTCAGCCAAAAAACCATATTTTTAAAACTCAAGAGAAAAATAATTTATTTACTCAGATATTTACAACTTTTACAGCTCTTCCCTCATTCCTGATGTTTTAAGTTTCCTTCTAGTTTCTTTTTCTTTCTGTTTGAAGGACTTCCCTTAGTAATTCTTTTAGAGTTGTGGGTTACCAACAGATTCTCTTAGTTTTTCTTCATTAGTGTTTTTTCATCTAAGACTGTCTCTATTTCACTGTCATTTCTGAAGAATGATTTTTGCTGGATATAGAAAATTCATTATTTTCTTTCAGCAGTTAAAAATGTACCTTTTGACCACCTTTGACTTCCATGTTATCTGATGAATCATCTGCAGTCATTTGATCATTTTTTTCACCCTGTAGATAATGCATTTTTCTCCAATTGCTTTCAACATTTTTTTCTGTCTTTAGTTTTCAGCAGTTAGATTCCAGTGTGACGAGGCATGTATTTCTCTGGGTTTATCCTATTTGGGGTTCAGTGAACTTCTTGAACTTGTAGGTTTGTGTGTTCCACCAAATTTAAGTTGTTTTCAGACATTATTTTTTTTCAAATATTTTTTCAGCACCACTCTTACTCTTCTTCCGGGACTCCAATAGCCCGAATCTTAGAACTTTTATTAGTGTCTCACAAGTCCCTGAGGCTTTGTTCAATTTTTTTCCACATCTTTTTTCTCTCTCTATTGTTCATGTTGGATAATTTCTGTTTGTCTATCTTCAATTTCACTGATTCTTTTCTTTGGCATTTCCATTCTGTTGAGTTTTTTCATTTCTGAGATTTTAAAATTTCTGTTATTTTTTAGTTCTAAAATTTCCATTTTATTCTTTATACCTTCCATTTCTTTACTGAGACTTTCTGGTTTTTTGTTTGTCTCAGGAGCATTCCTAATTGCTTGTTGGAACATTTGTATAATAGCTGCTTTAAAGTGTTATCAGATAATTTCAATATTTGTGTCATTTTAGTGCAGGGTATCATCTGTTGATTGTCTTTTCTCATATGAGTTGAGATTTTCCTGTATTTTTGTATGCTGAGTAATTTTGTACTGCATCCTGGACATTTTGAATAGTATGTTATGAAGAAACTCTGGGTCTTATTTAAATCGTATGAAGAATGTTGATACTTTTGTAGCAGGCAGTTGACCTGGTTAGGTTCTGGCTACATGTTCTCACCTACTTTTTGTAGGCTATGGGTCTCAGTTCAGTTTTCAAATCCTTCCTGATACCATTCACATCCATCCTGTGTATGTGTCATCCTGTGGTCAATCTGCGACCTGGATAGTGGTTTATTTGTTAATTCAGTTGTCAGAACCTTTGATATGCTGGTTAGGATCAGACCTATACATGCAAAGCCCAGGAGCCCTAGCATTTATAAATACCTTTGTGTTGCTTTCCTGAATCTCTCTCCCAAGCACTTTTGGGTTCCCTGAAGCTTCCCTTTTCATTCCTCTGGCCAAAAGCAGGAGGTTTGTTACCCTATGCTGTCATGCACTTCCCTGACTGCCTGCACCCGGGGCCAACTGACAGGAGGATAATGCAAAAAGGAACAGGGGTTCACTCCACCCTCTTGGAACCAGAGCCTCTCTAATGAGAGAAAAAGGTTCCCCTCTGAGCTTTGGCTCTTGCCATCTGCTGCTGCGGCCTCTGTCACCACAGCCACTGGGGTGCTTAGGTGCTGACATGAGAGAGAGTGAGCATTAGGCATTCCCTTCCCCACCCCTTGAGTCCATCGTGGAGAGCTTCTCCTGGGGTGCGCGCTCTCTGCGCGCCTTAGTGCTCAGCTCTGGGTTTCAGGCGGCACTGCACTCAGGCTGAAGGTTACTGCGGGGGAAAATGTCATTCTGGTCATCTTCAGTCCCCTTTCAGAGTCCTCATATAGTGCCGCACGCACTGTGTCCAGGCTTTATGTTGAATTCAGTGGGAGAGGCAGGGGGAGTCAGTGCACTCCACCTGACCTAGAGCTGGAACCCCCAGCGCAGGATTTTAAGCAGGGGAAGAACATGGTCTGAGTTGCTTCTTACTTTGTCTTCTTGAAAATGTATTTGTAATGCGTAATACCTTAAATGGAAAAGTATTACATGCTTAGTGTAACAAATAACACAATACAGAAGTGCATAAAGTAAAAAGTGAAGTCGTTTACCCATTCAACACCACTCCCACCAAATTACCCAGAATAACCTTTTTTTTTTTTAATACATTAAAAATCATTTGCTTCAGAATAACATCTTTTACTTGTTTGATATTTTCTGCATGTGGGCTTCTGCATGTATACACATACAATTTATTTTTCACAAAAATGAAATCATGTTCATATTTTCTGTTAGTACACATGGAGACTGCATTCTCTTTTTTTTTTTTTTTTTAAGATTTTTATTGGGGAATTGGGAGGATGGGAACAGAGCTGGGGAATTGGGGAGGGGGAACA